TTTTTTTTTTTAATCCAAAAATAATCTTGATATTACATCCTCATTATATGACGATCACAATCAAAACCAGGCATTCTTGTTTTGTAAGGCGTCCTTCAAATCTGATTTTAATCCCCATGGGTCTACAGTTTTAGCTTTCATTAGCCTCATTTTGGGGTTCCAATTTAATTCGTCAGCTTTTCCACTTGTTTACTTGGTGGGAGGTCAGTTTAAGCCAAATGAAGCAACTGAATTGGATTTATTAACCTTTTCGCTTGTTACAAAAACGAAAAGCATTAACCGGAAAAAGAATCAGAGTTTTTGTACACGTTTCAATTTCAAGTCACCACCTGATAGCAGTTTTCAATGTGACTTTTTCAAAATTAAACAGCTAGTACAATTTTTTCAAATCCCTGTGCATTATCGCCGTGTTTTCGTAGCAGTTTTTTTCTATTCCTATCACTGAATAGGGAAAATGCGTATTTCCACGTTATAGCTGTATTTGTTATTGAAATTTTCGAAATGTTTCATTGTAGCCGTGCGACCAAATGCTGCGCAAAGTATGCTTTGGTGACTCGACATCGATTTTAAAGGCAGGATCTATAGATTTACATAACGTGTTGTGAAAAATTTTTGGGAAGAATGTAGTGGGGCTTGCCATGTATTGGAACGCCGCATCTGATTACAGTTATGTTAGAGTAACACGGGCATTTACACTGTAGAGTAGATTAGTGGTTTACCATTTAGTGCTCTTTTCTTTTGTTTCCTTTGAGACTTCAAAACTACTGGGGAAGTTTAGGTTTTTTAAGCCCAAACGATTTCCCAGACGTTTATTGTAATTTCCTGTCGTGTTACAGAATTCCATTGTTTTTTGCCCCACTGCGTTTCTTTGGTGGAAAGATGTAAGGTGGTAGGTGCGGTATTTTACGGTTTTTTGAAATTCATCCGGGTTGTTGGGGAAGACGTAGAATTATTTGCGTTGGTCATGTAAATCTTGAATTGTTACAGCTTTTTGGATTTCACTTGGAAGGGTTTAAAGTTTTGTTAACAAATTGTTTAACATGGATTGAAAGGAGATGTATCAATTATCTTGTCATGTAGCTTGCTTATTTAACTGGGGAGTTAAATTGTATTTCAAAGCGCTTGTTTCATATTGTCTTTATATGACATGGAGATTAATAATTGGTTCTTGGATTTTTACAGGTATTGTTATGACATCCTTGTTAATTCATGATTCAAGATTGCGTGATTGCGTTAACGGTATGAATGCTTTACCCTCAAAGTCCTTTGACTACAAAGATGATGACGATGATGCTCATTTTGCAACATCATCATCAACAAGACAGAAAAATCGGCAGGAGGCAATCAAAAGATTTAAGCCTGGTAAGCACTCGGTGGTAAAAGTTGTAGCTAATAAAATTGTGCTTTTGTTACACTATTGGCAAATTTTAACTGTATAGGCGGAGAATCTCTGATTTATTTTTTTTTAGTTTTCTTATTTGTTATTGTGAGTTTCTAAGCACCATGAATATTTTTTAAAAGCCCTGTTTTGAGTTCATTTTTCAATTTTAGGTGAGCCATGCGTTGTTTGTGGCGACGCTGCGTCGGGAATTCATTACGGGGTTTCATCTTGCAATGGATGCAAGACGTTCTTCAGAAGAGTTATTATAGAGGTTAGACTTTTAACTGCTTATTTTTCAGTGACCTTTTAGAAAAGATAGAGATCTGAAGACAAGAGTAATCGTTTTCAGAACCGCACATATTCATGTAAGCAAAGTGGGGATTGTCCGATCGATAAGGATATGAGATGTTCATGCAGGCATTGCCGTTTCAAGAAGTGCTTAAGAGTCGGGATGGACCGTACAGGTTTCAGTTTTTCATTTCGAGTAGTCATTTGTTCAGTAACCGGTTCCTCCTCTACTTTGTTTGTTTATGAAAATTCTCATGGTCAAGTATACATTCTGTTCTCACCATATGCTTGAAAGTGGACGGACCATCGTTTTTTCGTCATGTGTTTTACTTGATGCCTAGGTTCTAGTTTAAAAACCCAGTTTTGTTTAGAATTAAACGTTGGGAGACGAAGGAAAAGAAAAGTAGCAAAGGTGGAGAAGAATAATGAGGAGATCATCGATGTCGAGGATCCACTGATATTTAGACTTTTAGAACTGGAAGACAAATTCATTGCAATGTTGACTTCTCCTGCAGCTCCAGTGCATTTAGATTTTAAAGCTGCTTTTGTTGATCCAGAAAGTAAATTTGATATACCTGTCGAACAGGTAAGATATTTTCTTATAAACTCTCCAAGATGAGGAGGCTAAAACTTTTACATTTAGAGACAACAGAAATACCTTAACCTAGAGTAAGAATAACTTCTGCGAGTTTTCAAAGAAACTCACAATAGTTAGTACAAGTTTTTTCAATTTTAGTATCGTGCCCAGCAGATGCCGTCAGGAGAGCAAATGAATTTTTCTTTTTGGCGAGCAAAGATTCTCTCTACGTTAGTGGAGTGGGCAAAATCATTTGAGTGTTTTCAGAAATTGTCATCGGAGGATCAGGTACGTGTTGATTGCTTTGATTTTGTTTAGTGTTGTTTTTTAACAATTTTTTCAGTCATTTTTGAATTTCTAAGATTTTGGGGGTTCTAGCACTTTTCGCTGTTTTAAAACTTTCTCCCGTTGCTGTTCTACCTGCTTCGGAACAGTACAGCCATTAGCGTTTTTAAGGCCTTGTTTGGGGATTGTGAATTAAACGTTGCACATTCCTTGCGCTTTTTCATTTCGCTCATTTCCTCTCCTAGTCTCTTTTTATATCTATTAAAAGTTTCGGTTTTACTAAATCTGTTATTGACTAGTCCGGAATTTGCGTTTTTTAAACCAGACACCTAGCTTTGGTGTTGTCTCGGCTCTGAAACTCACCAGCCTATTATTAGAGAATTTTATGGGTAGCGAGAGAATGATTTGTTGCTTCTATACAAAGTGAGTTAGCTAATATAGGTTGCAACGGGGCTTTGGTAGTTCGACGAATTTGAACAACGGCGACGGTTGGAGAATTCAAAGAAATGGGAACAGGACACTCAGCATTGTTGTTACAGTTTAGAATACGAAAATTTATAGTTTTGCGAAGAGGTTTCTCTTCAACACGTAGAACTTATGTCCATCTTCCAGTTAAAGAAAATTAGAAGTCACTTTGAAATTGCTAGATGGTTGGCGTTTAAGGGTTAGGCTGGGAAGCACCGTTTTAGTCGCTATTTTTGCTTTTCTTTAGTCGAGTCCAACTACGTTTCCGACAAGTCTGGCTTTGTTGGGTTGAAATTCAAAAAAAATTTCTATGGAGAATTTTTGCATTGTTTTTTGTGTGTAAGGGGCAAGTCTTCCATAATAGTCTTCTCTTGTTTTAGGCGTCTCAAGTGACCGTTTAGAAT